CAGTTCTTTCCCTCAAGTTGGCTTTAAGTGGCTTCCACTTCACATAGATCGATCTGGTGACCATGAAGAAGCGGCTTGCGATCCACAAGAGATGTGCTCCGCCCAACGGGAAATTCCTCGAGTCGGCTTGGAGAAAAGGTGAGACTCGATGGTCTTGGGCATACCAACTCTTCATCCCTAAGAGCGATGGCCTCAATATCAAACATGATTTGAATGTTCACACAATATAACTTCATGTTCAAACAGGACCTTTCTTCCTTCTTTGTAGTCATTCAATTTCCAATCGTTGCTTCACCGTTGTTGTGCGTCACGGAAGGGTTCGCCACGGATTCGACAAGTTGTGGATAGGCTGTTTCTGCTCGAGAACGCCAAGTCACATGGACATATTCGACAAGCCCTGATCGCCCAGGAAGTACAGTGCCACCAAAACACCTGAGTAGGAAAGGGCATCGATACGAACGGAGCAAGGTTCGCTACTAGTAGCTCCTGGCCGTACTACTAGTAGCAATAAAGCTACTAGTATCAAGGGCATTACTAGGTATTGAAAATCAATCTGGTGCAACCATCAAACAAAACTGAAGCAAGAAGCTACTAGTAGCGATGCGCTTTGCTCCTAGTAGCGTCCTTGCTCCTAGTAGTAAGGCCAGGAGTTCCTAGTAGCGTCCTTGCTCCTAGTAGCGATGCCAGGAGCCCCTAGTCACGTTCTTCTTGCGAGCCACACATCATGGTGTAGACCTTGATTGCTCTGAAGTGTCTTTTCCGTCTTGACTTTCCCATCAGCAATGATGCCATTGCTGCGGCCAGAACATTGTCAAAGACCTGAGGCATCTGACCTCCATGAAACTCCATATCATAATGCATCATACTATAGGAGCAAGGACGCTACTAGTTACTAGGAGCAAAGGGCATCGCTACTAGGAACAAGAACGCTACTAGGGGCTCCTGGCCATACTACTAGGAGCAAGGACGCTACTAGGGGCACATATAGAAATAACACACATAATGATGTGTATATAAATACACATACAAGAAACGCGTTAACGATATGAAGTTCTCTCCTCAACACTTGTTTTTAATGTTTAAGTTCTTGGCATCAAATAGATGTCACCAGAAAGTGCATGGAGACAGGTGTTTATTTGAGACATTCTATCTCAGCTTCTTATGTGTAGCTCTCTAGTCAGTTCCATATCAGGTGACGAGCTTTAACCAAGAGGCTGTGAGCACCAAGCAGTCACAGATCGTCAGTTCTTTCAATGCCATGAATGCCAAGACCTCGTGAATTCTCGAGCTAGAACATGTTCCTAGTCGCGTCCCCTAGTAGCGAACATTGCTCCTATAGAACATGTTGCAACCTCTGTTTTTCTCAAGAAATGTTTTTTTAGACGACCCAAACGAGGGCTTGAGACAGTAACCAACTAATGATGATAACATGTGAGCAACGAGGCATCGAACAAAAAGAACTGCAAATGCTGAGGGACACAAGAGAGAGCCCCGAAGAAGCCAAGAATTGGAAGATCCTTCACTGGCGAGAAGGGGTTGCGGCCAGCCTGCGCAGAAGAATGCTTTAGGCAGCTTTGGGGGCTCAAGGGATCCTCACAAGATTTGAAGATTGTATGGCTTCGTCTGTCATCCTTTTGGATTGTGGATCTTGTCTGACCAGCTTGGAAGCACATGGAGGCCATCGCTACTAGGTTGGAGGCCATCTCATCACAAAGAAATGCATCAACAGGGTCTAGAGTCTAAAGAATGCACTCTTGCAGAAACCTTCTAGTAGTAACAGGTGCCACGCTAGTAGAAACAGGTGCCTTACTAGTAGTAACAAGAAGCTAGTAGAAACAAGGGCCTTGCCGAAACCTTCTCATTAGAAACTTGGCGAGTCCACACCTAAGGGCAAGGCTCCAACCCTTGTCACGTTCGTAACATGAGAATTGTCTGTTTTCACGTTCTAGTGTGGGGTGGGAGCAAGGACGCTACTAGGAACAAAGGGCATCGCTACTAGGAGCAAGGGCCTTACTACTAGGAACAAGAAGCTAGTCATTTTAATTCTAATAGCTTCTTGTTACTAGTAGCGATGCACTTGTTACTACTAGCGATGCACCTGTTACTAGTAGTAAAGGAATAATAGAATGCAGCTGAAGCGTTCCACGAAAGAACGACGGCCGCGATTCGTTTCTTTCGCCCTCACATGCGCTCGCCTGCCGCTCGATGAAGAGTCGTGAGACCACCGAGGTAAGCACCAGCCATGGCCAAAACATCATACTGTAGATGTAAACCTGGAAAGGAGGGAAGGAAGGATGAAGAAAGGACTTGGCCTCCAACCTACTAGCGGTGGCCTCCAACCTAGAAGCTAAATGTAAACCTGGAAAGGAAGGACGATGAAGAAAGGAAGGAACACAAGGAACAAAGATATGGATGCACATAGCATTCTGTAGGTGTCAAAATGTGTACACCTGTAGAATTCAGTAGAACACTTTTCTGAATAGTCTTTCTTTGGACGGTAGCAGAATGACACCTATCGGGAAAAGAAAAGAAGAACCACAACAGCAGCGAATCGACATTGCTCTGAATTGATCTTTGTTGTCTGCAGCACCTCAAACAGGCTTTCCCCAAATCTTCCAATGCCTGGCAGCAATCGCTAGTAGGTTGGAGGCCATCTCTATTAGGCTGGAGGCCATCGCTACTAGGTTGAGGTTGGAGGCCAGTTCTCTTCTATCTTCTCGTCCAGCTGAGAAAACATGCGTTTTCGATTCGGACCTGGCCTAGAATCAAGAGGAAAATAAGCGTAAAGACCAACGCCACATTGGAAATCAAGGATGCCTTGGAAGAATCTCTCTCTGCGACCAAAGTGACACTACGTAACTTCAGCTAAGGGGCCATCGGAGGGCATGGAATAAATCTCCAAAGGTTGAATACCTCGGCTGGTCTCAGGTGCATTCAAGTGCAACACGCTCCAGCTGACAAAAGCGGATCACAAGTCTTTTCAGGGATTCCATCAAAGTTGCTACTCGAAGGAAAGGCAAGCAGCTGCCGACAGAAAGCAGCAGCAGTAGATTGTTCACGTAGTAATAGGACTGCAAACCTTGGAACAGCAAACTTGTACAGCACGAACAATCTCCTCTCTGGAAAAAAACAAACAAACACAGGTCTGACGGTCTACAGAAAAAATGTAAAGTAAGAAAGGAAGAACGGCCTAACAGTAGAAACATAAAAGGTCTTACTGAAGAAAGAACCACAAGAAAACCAAATTATTTATATAGAGCGAAAGGAGGTTTGACGTTAACCCCTGGACAAGGCTGGTCTCATGCAATGGACTTAACTATCCTTTGATTAATAGCAATAATGTGTTTAAATCGTTTTGGTATAGAATATACATATGTTTCTTCGATTTGATTGACTTTTTCTTTGAACCCTCAAACACATTTTGTCAATTCTTCCTTCTTTCATTTCCTTATTCCCTGGAAGGCTCAAGAATGCTCTAAACAAGAGAATCTTATCGGTACCTGATGTGATGATTTGATCGAAGTCGCAGTCATCGAGATGGATGATTTCTAGGTGCATTGGCGAACACTGCAAAGGCACTCCAAGTACTACTTGGACGGCTGACAAAATATTATGTGTGTTAAACATTAGATTGAATAAGCAAACGAGAATGGTCCCATTGGCAAAGTTGAATCTAAACTCGAACACAAAGGCCTTAAGGTCTACAAGGTCTACAAGAAAAAGAAAGAACAAAGAAAAACTTTTGGAAAGGGCAGAAACCAAGAAACCTAATACCCCATAGAGATGGCCTCCAACCTAAGAGACCTGGCCTCCACCCTAGTAGCGATGGTCTCTAACCTAGTAGCGATGGCCTCCACCCTAGTGGCGATGGTCTCCAACCAATAATAGGGATGGCCTCCAACCTAGTAGCGATGGCCTCCACCCCAGTGGCGATGGCCTCCACCCTAGTAGCAATGGCCTCCAACCTACTGGCGATGGCCTTCAACCTAGTAGCG